AAATGCTTTTGAACTTCATCATAAACCTTAAAAGAATAAAAGTGAATATTGAAGTAAAGACTCAGAAGGGTATGCTTTATGAATGTTTCTAATAATTGTGTCTGTTTCTTGACACAAAATAAAAACAGTATGCCACAAATAGGAATAATTTTCGAATTGATAAACCTAACATGAAACTATTAAGTAATACTTGTCGATAAAAATCTTATACAATTAAATTTTTTTATAATGAGTATCAAAAAAAAACGTCACGCCTATGTGCGTTTCGTACCCATCATTGATAAAGTAGGAGGCGCAGGATATCATGTAGATGTTAATATCACAGATTAGGTATCCTATAAGTATACAGATAAAAATCTTGTCCCTAATTCGTGGTACGAAAATTGTTTTTTATGACGATGTGCAAACGAGTCAAATTTCCTGTGCGCAAAAATAAACTCGCGTAAAATAACAATAAACAGCGTAATAGAGAGATATCGCTAAATCGAATAGCGTGCATGAACGTTAATAAGGCCAGGTGTTATTTCCTTTACGTGAGGTGGTATTAACTCTCTTCATTTATAGTTATCAGATCGGAAAGAATTCTGGTCGCGTCGCGTCCGCTATTTAAACTTAACCTACCTTTGAATTTAAAACTTTGAAATTGTTTTGTTTACTAGGTATTTTAAAACTAAAGGGCTAAAGCGCTTATTTCCAGTGGTTTATTGTTCAACGTCTGCCACTGGGTTTAGGGCAACAAGCAACAAATTCTCTTAGAAGGGCTAAGTCGTCATCTGCTGTAAATCTAAGACTCTTTATAGGTTCTTTAGTATTGAAGAGGTGGACCAAACCAATCCATATTTTGGGCCATATTTATTTAATTAAAACTAATCCCAGCTACTTAAATATCAAATTACCTAATAAAACTAAAGCAATAATTCAAAACAATTCAAACATAACTTAAACATAACTTATAAGATCTCGCCGGCCGGCTCCGGTTGTCAAATACCCGCACATGCCCATTTAAGCAATTTTTAAACGTTATCAGAGGTTATTTAGAAAGAGTGCTTGGTGTAATTGATCCGCAAATTACGTCAGGCGGTAACGTTATTAGCGGGTGTTGCGTTAAAAATTGACTCGCGCATATCGTAACCATGATAAGGTACGCGTAAATACTGGATGACGCTATTCGGATTTCCGATATCTCTCTAATAACTGTGCCGGTTAGGCGCTGTGCACAATTTTAGAGGCCATAAGTGGGCGTGCTATGTGCGCAAACTAGTAACCTAACTAGTGCCCGATTCCGAAAATTGGAACCACGAAAAACAATAAAGAAAAAACAAAGATTATAATCTGTATAATCTGTGTTAATATCTTGTTCTCCTACTTTTACCTCACCTTAACCCCGCAGCCTATCTATCGTTGGCGTTGACGCCGCGGTGATAAAATGTGAATTTTTGAAGCTTATGTCTAGGCAAAACAAATAGGGAGTTTATGAATGACTTGTTTTCTGTTTTAATTTTTTTAACTCTATGGCCCCTTCTATATATCATTATTTGTTACAAAATATTTTTGTTTGAAATATAGATTTTTATTTTTATTTCTATAATATATCATGGTTCTGAAAATAAAAATATTTAAATCAATGTAAGTAGAACGCGTTCTTATGAGTTTAAAAGTTCAACAGCCGATAAAAACATATATTTTTAGTTAAAAACCCTATCACTAGCCAACATGACGGAATTTCAATTCATTGTTTTATAAATTTGACATGGAGTCGGACACAAATCATCTACATTATATCATATTTGTGTCTAAAAAGAGAGAAACTTGTGGTTCGAAAATGAATCGACAATAAATGGAAACCTTGTTGTCCAAAATGTTTCGATTTAGCGCTATCTGTGTAGAAATTTGGAGCTCTGGTCAAAATAGTTAAAACATTTTTTTTTTACTTATTATAACACAATTAAAACATAAAAGCATGTATTCTTTTGTGGAAAAAAGAGAAAAAAATGTTTGCTGGTAACATTTTCTTCGGTCTCCTGTTGGGTATGGGTAGTTAATACATTTATTTCTAAAACAAACGATCTCTGTTATGCGTATAAATAATAATAAAATCGCATAAGAAAAATATCTGTATTTGTACTCACCCTATGCCCTTCCTTCTGCTTTTTTAATTATAGCACTATAGAGGGTGTCCCAGAATTAAGTGCAAGTATTTTAACTGGTAGTATAGTTCAACCACAGAAGCACGTCTACGTAGTTCTTTTCGCAAAAAAAAAATTGAAAATTCGAAATTTTTTGAAATTTTTTAGTTAAAAAACATAATTTCTTGATAAATGACAAGATATTAGATTAAATTTACAAGAAAGAAAATCCGGAAAAGATCCAGTGGTTGTCAAAATTTTAGCAAAAAATCATTTTTTTTGGAAATTTTCAAAGTAAAATAACTCCGTTATTTTGGAATTAAATTGAAAAACGATAGAGAGAAAATATGTTTCTTTTATCGAGATCTACCACCCCTTAAAATACTTGCGCTTATTTCTGGGACACCCTGTATAAACTTGAAGAATGCTTAAATGCAAAAACTACAGAATAAAATTAAAACAATAAAGTAAAATTATGTTCTCATACAGTACAGAATATTAAATAAATTATGGAAACTTTAAGGCACAAAACGGGTACGAAATCTGTAAATGTGAGCCACATCTGTTTCTTAAAACTTTCGACAAATTTGTGACACTAAGATCTTTATTGTTATAGCTTATGTAGCGAAAGCATATTTTGGTAAAATGTTTCGAAACAAAAAGTGATTTATGTTATAAAACATATGTATCAAAAATATGACAAAGGTCCGATTAAATTTATATCTCCGAAACTAAAGTTTCAAAAACAGTCATACTACGCTAGAAATTCATTTACCCAGTAGTAGTTATAAAAAGCATTTTTGGTAAACTCTGTCTTAAATAGTTTCTGAAAAAAATTTTTTTTTAAAAAGGTCCGATTAAATTTATATCTCCGAAACTAAAGTTTCAAAAAAAGTCATACTATACTAGAAATTCATTTACCCAGTAGTAGTTATAAAAAGCATTTTTGGTAAACTCTGACTCAAATAGTTTCTTTACAGTAAAAACTTTAAATTGCGACTGTTCAATTAAAATACCCTATCTTACGTTTTCTTTTTCTCCAAATAATATTCTTTTCAAGTAAGGATGATTCTGTTTGTCTCGATGATGTTTGCGATACTTGGACATATAAGAGTACTTTCATGGACAGTATAAGAGTGCACTGATTACTGTTTTACAGAAGGAACGAACTTCTTCCTCCACACGTAATAAAACATCCTCTTTAAATGGTCACGTCCCACATTGACCATTCCCAATTACAACTATGATTTTTACAAATCGCCTTTAGGAAAACTAAAATAAACAGTTTTCGATCATGATCATCTGTATACACGGTATGTTGTATAAACCTACACATGAAAAATAATCACTTTTCCCGGCGTATTAGCTTTCTTAGAATGACTATGACAATACCTATACAACAAGCCTTTTTGAATAAGTCTTTAGAATAATTATGATAATAATAAATTTTAATTAGATAACAACACAAACGCAAAAAAAACAGATGTCAATTAAAGAGGGGAAGTGACAGCAAGACCTGGAAGATGGCGGCCATCAGACGGATGTTTGGCGGCCATCAGACGAACCTGGAAGATGGCGGCCATCAATTTTTGGATGCGCACTCGTCGAAGCTCATTCTCCCACTTCCATATCTCTGTTTAGTATAGATCCCACCAAATCTGTGGTCTGTGCAGTTAAAAATATTCAGCATGTTGAAAGATCGCAGATCCCATCTTTTCGATGAGATCTTTATCGAAGCCGCCACTACACGTTGAAATGTGGGCTGAATCGAAGGACTGTACAGTTCAAATCTCTCAGATATGATTGCGTGTAGGGCCCTTTTTAGTAAAATACAATTAAAATGATAGACAATAACCGTCACTGACATATATTCTTTCCTCAAATAGACTATACATAATTTTATTGCAAAGCATATAAAAATTTCTATTGCAAAGCATAGGATGTCCAAAAAAAATTGTAATTTAATAAAATTCAATATACCGAGTGTATCTTAAATGTGACTCACCCCTATAACTTCTTTATTTTTTCAGATAATAAAACGAAATTTAGTCTGCAATAGTGATACCGGTAATGGTATTACCACTAACTGTTTAAGTGATACCGGTAATTTTTTTCTACTTTTTATGACAGAAAAGGACATTCTGAATAGAATGATATATCACATGTCAACTTTTGACATTTTCAAATTAAAAAAAAAGCATTTTAAATTTCAATCTAGAGTGCCATATAGCTGTGATGAAACCATTAATTTTTAATCAAAGAACTTTAGAAAAATAGATTTGATCGTTTATTACTTTTGCGTTCTTGCTGGGTCGGTTAAAAGATTCTCAAATGGTATTTTTAATCATAACTCAATTTTTTCAAATGGAACGATAGCATATTTGGAAAAGGCATTTTTTACGAATAATTTGGTACTACCTACTTGGTATTTCGAGTCAAATTGTAATTACATTTATGACCATAGCACTCTAGATAAAAATTTAAATTGCTACTTTTTTTAATTGAAAAAGTCAAAAGTTGAATTAGATGTCATTCTATTCAGAATGGCATGTTCTGTCAAATAAGGTAAAAAAATACCGAGGGTACTATTTAAAAACCAAAAGTTGTAGTCATTTCCGGTGAAACAGGTGAATCATTCCTCATTTATGCATACTCTCAACATACCAAATCTCGTTTTTCTATCTGAAAAAATAAAAAAGTGATAGGTGTGGCCACCTTTGAGAAACACCCGGTATATCATCAATAATTTGGCTGCGTTGACAGATTGTGTTCTCTGCTATTATGAGAACTAAAATGTATTGTTGTGTTTTTTACAAAAATATTTCTTTAATGTTGCAATAAAAGGAACGCGTTCCTTATGAAATGTTAACTTACTTGTGAGTTTCTTTGCCAGTTCCTTTGTAAATAAAATGAGAGCTAATTTTGAAACTCCATAAGCAATAAAGTGAGATCTAAATTCAGTTTGGCACTTTGTGATTGCTTTTAAATCATATATATTAACATTTCTATGGGCCTCTGAAGAAACGTTAATTATTCTGGCATGAACTGAATTTTGTAATAATCCCAGTAGATGATGAGTTAATATAAAAGGTCCTGCGAACAAAAATCATACAAGATATTTTTTCTATAAATGACACTTTGAATAGGTTATTACTGGCATACCTAAATAATTAGTTTGTAAGGTAATTTCAAACCCATCTTCAGTTAAACCTTGAGGATGGTAAAATACTCCTGCACAATTCACCAGAGCAAATATTTCTTTGAATTCGCTTTTTATATTCTCGGTAAACTTGACAATATTCGGAATAGAACACAGATCTAAATGTTTTACAAATATCTGCCCGTTATAATTCTGAACCTTCTGTAATATTTCTGCTTTTGCATCTAAACCTTTTTTAACATTTCTGCAAGCTAGGATTAATGACGCACCTAAAATAATACAGGATTATAAAGGTTTAAGTTGAAGGTTGTATGGTAAGCTGGATTTATGAAGTCCTATTGTTTTTTGAAACCGAGTTGAAATGAAATGAATGCGGATCCAAACCAAACCAAACCGAAAAGTTGATACTTCATTCTATGTTCAAAAATTCACAGTCCTTTACAAAGATGCAACCGGGGGGGGCATTGAAAATGATGAATAAAAACGTAAAAATATGATTAGTGTTAATATGAGTGTATTACATACATATGTTTAAATAACGAACTTAACAAAAAACAACAGATTTAAAGATTCACTGAAAAAGTAGTAGTGTTAACATTAAATAAAACATTATCAATAATAATTATGCGATCGCACCTATCCGTAAAACAAGCAAGCAAAAAACCTCGAAAAAAACAAAATAACATACAAAACATCAGGTTAACATGATGACAGATCATGATCAATGACAGATAAAGAATTCTTACGGAAAGTTACACTGTACAATATAATTTTTTAACTGTTAAAGGCAAACCCCATTTAAACACAAAACTTTTTAATACCTACTACTGTATCTAAAAGACTTTTTTTAAATTACTAAATTCTTAGCCACGCTTCTGTTTTTCTTGGCTGTTGTGCGTCACGTCACAGATTAACAGGCCCACGTTTGCACCACAAGGCGATGCTGCAGACCACTAGGTAGACCGGTCGTAGAAATTTATGTTATACAACTTGTAGTCAATCTACACAAATATTATCAAAAAACTTTTTTTCTTTTAAAATGTGTTCAGATTTTGTAAAAAGTATAAGTCAAAATCGCAAAACTTAAATTTGATATGAGTTTCTTAGTTTTTAACTAATATAGTGGCGAATTACAAAATTCCTTTTCAATGAAAATTAATGAGTTAAATAAAATAATTTAATAAATTACTAGCTTTTTCTCGCGACTACGTTCGCGTTACACCTCGAATCGTTCAAGCATTGATTTTAAATGATTTTTACTTCTTTATAGAGAGCTAGTGAGCATAGATGTTTTTATTTTTCATCTTTTTTTATTTATTAAGAGCACTAATACTCTCTTTATAGGTTATTTTTTATTCTTTGAAGGATAATTGAGGAAGATATATTTCGTTATGATGTCACTAAATAAACCCTTGTATAAAATTTTATACTGTCTGGTTTATAATGTTATAGTATTGCATTTTCGTACAGCAAACTTTCATTCCCTATTCTACTCCTCTTCAAGGGTATAAATTTCATAAATTCGCTTTACCTTTGTGCCAATTTTTATGTGTATAATCCAGAGGTCACCAAGTTTTATATAAATTTTTACTAACTTTACCCATTTGGTTGATGAATTTCAAAAATTTCTTCTAATTCTTTTTGTAGGATTTCATTCTTCTAGACCAAATAGTAAGGAATTTTCATACAGCAAACTGTTCCGAGATAATTTTACTCTCTAAGAGGATGAATTTCCTAAAATCGCTTTGTGTAGCTAATTCACTAATGTCGTTTAAACGAACCTTTGTGCTAATATTTATGTATCTAAAGCTGGCGGCATGAACTCACTCTAAAATATCTAAAAACCTAATATATAATCTAACTGACACACCACTGACAATGACAATTAATTTATTTCTGGAGGTATTGTGTGTAGGTGTTTTGCAGGTATGTTTTAGTATTTATTCGTTTTACACAAAGAAATAGCCATTAAGCACTATAAAAATACTTCATAACAAATCTACACATTTAAAAAAAGAATCATCAAGATTGGTAAAGCGGTTTCGGCGGGATGGATGCAACAAATAAACCCTTTGAGCTTTTATATATGTATGGATTAATTATTTTTCCAACATATTTTACTTTGCAAATTTTTATAAATATTCAGACTCGCCAATATCGTACTCCACTGTGTCCAGCCTGTTTAGCCAAACGTAGGCCGATTCCTCTTCGGCGGCGTCGTGACCCTGGCCGAAGGAAGAGTCTTGAAGACGCTCATCCGCGCATAGGAATAAGTTGACTGCGTAGCGTATTGCGTATTAATCGATTCTGAAACTTTCTATCTCGTGTATAACATGTTACGCAAGTTTATTATTTTAATCTCGATTTTAATGGATAAATGTGTGAAATGCCACCTGAATATCTTCCGCCATGACATGTTTTTACTTTTTTGGTATGGTAAAGTGATTTGTATAAACTTTATTCAATAACGTATATTTTCCTACATTTGTGATTTTTTAATTTTAAGCGAAAATTAAGTATAACATTTTAGGAAAAAGAAACACTGTAATATTTAAAAGAATAAGAAGAAATTAGTCTTATTTTGAAAGGAAAATATAGAAAAAACTCTTTCTATAGAAAAGTCTTTATACTAACCAGAGAATCCGGTGACATATACGCAGTCTCACCGGAAACATTACTTATTACTTCGCATAACTTGAAGAATATCTACTTTTAATAATGAACACTTCAGAAATACACCAGTAAAAACATTTATTATTTGAGATTAAAACTCGAATTAAATTATAAATATTAGTTACCTATGTTGTTATAGCTTTTATAGGCCTGTTTAACGACTTAATAAGTTACCTAGCGAAAAATCTGTGCGCGTACCTACCACTATTGTTACAGGTTAATTCGTTAAAGAAATATGTTACACAAGTTAAAAACGTTAAAATTTTAATGGTATTACTTGTGCATTATTATTCTATAATGTAATTTGTTGGAATTATATCTTCTTTAAATATAATTAGACTTTTTAACGACTTTTAAGTTACCTAGGAAAAAAGCTGTGCACGTACCTACCAGTATTGTTACAGGTTAATTCGTGAAACAAATGTGTTACATATTATTCGTGGTATTTGTGGTATTATATTGGAATCAGCTTGGCATTAGTGGGGCATTATATGAGAAATTTTGGTATTTAATTTGTATTTTTTGGCATTACTTTGGCATTAGTATACAGACATTTGTCAGCGGTTTACTCCTTGTAGATAATCAAACAGTTTTTTGATAAAATTTGCTTTTTATGTCAGATCATTTCTATAAAAAATTACATTAGATTTTTATTAAAGACGCTGGGTAATTAAAACATTGACTAAAGCTGGTCCACTTTAAATAAGGGGTCACGAAATATCCTCCTTGAAGTGTTTGGGTTAAGGGGTGTATAATAAATTAATCGTTGTTTTATAATAAAAACCATAAAACATTTATTTGTGAGTAAAATAATGCAATGGTTGGATATCTCTCCTTTATAATTAGGTGACTAAAAATACACTAAAATAATTATAATAAAAATCTTGTACTTATTTAGTAATTACGTCAATATTAATTAATTGACTTTCTAATCTATTCTATTTTATGTACAAATATATTATTAAATTTTAAGCATTAAGTAATAAAACACTTTGTGCCCTCTTATATCGTAAGAGGTTACGAAATATACTCCTGGTTACACCCCTTACAGAAAACAGTGTAAGGGGTGTAAATAAATTGTATAATCACTGTTTTTTAAAATAAAATCTATAAAACATTTCTTATTTGTGAGATTAAAAAACAAAACAATGCATTGGTTAAAATAAGTACATTCAATACATATATAATGAATAATACATCATATGTATGTGTTATAACATAATATAGCCATTACTATTATACTATTATTATTAAAATAATATGTGTGTAACATATTTCTTTAACGAATTAACCTGTAACAGACATTTATATGCCCAGTATATTTTTGTTTAACAAACCAATCAGGAAAAATCCAAAACCTACCGTTATAGGAGGTATAAGATGATTAAACTTATATAATGACAACTACTTATTGGATAACAAATTAATTACTACTGTCAGCTAGTTCAGCTACTGTCTAGGTAGAATATACCTAGAGTACCTACACCTACCTATGATGTAGGTAGATTAAAGCTTATTTTGACGTTACCTCTCACTTCGGTGTCACAAGCTGAATTTTTCAGGGATGGAAGTACAGTACATGATATGGGGACCCTTATTCCGAAAGTAGTACAAAATTAGACCGGGTAAAAGGACACTATCATCAAAATCGATATATTAATACCACCGTATAGAGAAAACAAATACTTATTTTTTGATCCAGTACACAATAAAGTTTTCGTAGGGAGTAATTTTTATAATTATTTACAAAAAAACATTTCCATTAGCGCTTATGACCAAAAAAAACTTTAAACATGAATAATCATTTCAATCATGCGAAAATTTGGTTTAAAAATAGATTTTTTTAATATAACTTTCATTTAACGAAAAACGAAGGCCTAAATGAAAAAAGAAACAATTTAAAAGTTTCGCTTATGTCTTGACAAGGTATCAAAGCAAACCCCATATTTTTTGCTTTTAAACTAATAAAGATATATCAATAAACAATTAGCGATGTAATGGTTTTCGCGCGCTGGCCGACTGCCGCCGCTGCGCCGAGATTTCCTATACCCTTGTATATATGACGTCATGGTGTGGCAAATGTAGCATTTTAATTCGATTTGGGCTCCCTTATATAGGATAACAGAAACATTTTCAATGTTAAAAGTTCAGTCATTATTTAAGTTCGGTACGTAGGAACTAGCAGTGAGAAATGTAGTCATTAGCCCCCATACAACAACATAGTATAAGTTGGACAGATTTGGTCCGTCGGGATTTAGTCGGAGGACTAAGCTCGGCATGTACCAAAACCTTAGTTATTTTGAGCTGCCCAATCTGGCTTGCCGAATTAAAATCCCTATTAGATATGCTTAATTAAAAAACGGACTTGGGGTTCGTCAGTGTTTCATGTGCTTTAGAAATAAATAACACCGGTAGAAAACGCGTTATAGTTTGTGTTTGGTTTGGTTGCGTATTGTCAATAAACAAAAATAAAAAATAGAAAAAGTTGGTAAATTTTTTTCTAAATTCAACCAATCTTTCATATATCTTGTTTATTATAGTTTTATTTATGTAATCTTTGCATTTCACTTGCCACGAACATAGATAACTTTGGTAAATTTTAATAAATATAAATTAACAATTTTAAAAAGATTTTGTATTGCATGAGGTACCGTCCCATACAACATGTCCAAATGAAATAACATCTCCACAATGTAGACACATTAGAAACAAAATATCCTCAAGTGAATCTAACTGCAGCTCTGCTAGTACTGATATACACATATGAGATACACCCATGACTACATTGACAGAATTGTGTGATACAGTGTTTAATAGGTATAGGCTTGGTGCATTTCATACCCCAGTCAAAATAGACATTTCAATTAACAATCCTTTTCACAAACGGAGTAAACAAAAAATTTAACCTCAAATTTACTATTCAACATGTACGTCAAATCAAATCGCAATGTTGTCAGTTGTTGGCTGGCGCACGAGCACGGTTCTGCAATGTGATTGGGCGTATTTTTCATACGTCATCAAATGGCACTTTAAAATTATTAATTAAATTAACGCAATTTTGAGGGCCTATAAAAAAATTATTCAATGTCATGGAACTATTTTTTTTGGATAAATATACTAAAAATAGTCTTCTATTTCAGATTTTGTCCTTGAGTTGGGTAATTTAGTTTTTGTGAAAGAGCCCATTTAGTCAGTTTTTAGGCCCGACCTTTATCTAATAAACCCTTGAATCTTCTCTATTTCGTTTTATTAGCCAAACCAAAGAATATTATAGTTAACACAATAGAAAACCCATCCCGTGTAAAATTTTTGGAACCAAAAAGGAGCCGGGCTTTTTGAGCCGGGATCCATCGAGGCGCCGCAACGTTAAAAAGCGATTCCTTCCTTGTCTATGTTGCCAAATCGTACGCCAAATGCGACCGGCACACGCGGCGGCCCGAAGGCGATCATCAAAGCCTTCCGTATTCCCCCGCACCTCGTTGTGAAGGCTTCGTGGTGTGCTCATTTTTTATATTTTGAATTGTGGATTTTGCTTTATTATTTTGAATTATTATATTTTGATTTTAGTTTTCGTGTTTTAAAAATATGTCGGACAATGTATGTCAATAATACAATTGCAGACTATCAAGGAGGGACAGTCCTTATTTAAAAATGTTTAGGTTCCCTTATAAAAATCGAAGTATATGCGAACATTGGATTTTAAATTCGGGTAAGCAGAGGCGTGACTGAATATTATGCTGGATATCTTCTAAAAAAATGCAAGATAAGTTTAATTGTTTAGAGTGCAGTTCAAAATTTCACAACCAAGACCTTATTGCTCATCAACTTGATCCAAAAAAAACTTTTTACTGAACAAAAATTATGAGGTGGGCAGACTTTTCCTAATTGTGCCATGTACAGAAATTTCGGACTTAGTCCAAAAGATGTTTATTTTGTCGAAAAAATATTTTAATGAATATAAAGAACAAGAATATTTAGTTTTTAATATTTAGTTTTTATCTCGTTTTTTTTTTTTTTTTTTTTTTTTTTTTTTTATTTATTTCTTGCCTCTAAAGAAAAATAAAAGAGGCTTTTTAATTCAATCTAATAAAAATAAATGTATTGCTCGTGCATCTGTAGATGTTAGTAATGTATGGCAATCGCTTCTTTGATTTTAAAGAACATTACGTAAATAAACATAACATACGTGAAATTTAAAAATAATCATACAGAAAGTTTGGGCTTTTTGGTTTTACCTTATTAAGTAATTATCAGATAGTAATTGTTAATTTTGAAGTTTAACTTAATATAATGTCATTTTAACAGAACGTCAACGATTTCTTGTAGACGTATCTGTTTTAAAAAGTAAAGTGTTCTCGAATAGTTCAATTTAAATATTTTAAATAGTTTTTTTCTTGATTCTTTATATTTTTTTTGCTTCTATGACGGAAAGAGAAAACTTTCCGAAACGTTAAGCATTTTTTTTTGTTAGGCAAATTTTTTATTACTGTAAACGCTTCTGACAAACGGCGTCCGTTTAGGTTTAACGCCAGAAGTGTTTACAAAAAATAACTATTTTATTTTGTAGATTTTTCTTGCAGTGCAGTGGCGAAAACCCCATAAGGATTTTTTTGGATAGATGAATCCGCCACATAGGTATAGACATTTTTTAAGAATATTTAGGTCTTAAAATAAAAAGCAAAATTATTGCGTAAAGTGAGATTTCGATTTGGTTAGGTAGTAAGGAAAGAACATGCTACCCACACAAACTTTTTTTAATGAATTATTTAATTATTACTAATATCTTCAAATTTTGCAAATGGGAAGAAGTTAAAAAAAATTAGAAACAAAAACTAAAAAGTTTAAAAAATAAGTCGAATTTTAGCATATCTACCCTACAGAAATAACAATTTTACTAGTTCATTTGAGCCCGTTAATGAGATATTTTAGGGCCTTTAATGAGATATTTTGGGCTTTTTTGTGATGGTTCTGCTTTACAATCTAGATCCGCCTCATCTGGGGATGCGAAACAATTCATCCCAAAAAAATTGATTTTAGTGACCTGCAAAAATTTTCCTTTTTACTATTTACACTGTTACCGCCAAATCTTGTTTATTATCAAAAATTAGATTGTCTTATTTGTGATTTGTTTAGTAAAATAAAATCATTTAATTTGTTGGCATAAATTTTAGAATAATTGTAGATTTCGTTTTTAGATACCTAACTTAACTGGTAATTACTTGTTGTGTGATGTAAATAATGTACAGTATTAGCATTTTATTTTGTCCCATTTTTGCCAGGCTATAACTTTTCTATTTTTGTATAGAACATTCATTAAAAAAGAAATTTTAGGGTCTTTAGTCAAGTTTTATTGTTTATTATAATCAATAATGTCATAAGTTGCCAAATGTCACCGTTATTGGTATGAACTATTTTTTTAATGGGACACCCAGTATATTTAAAGTGTATTTATACAGGGTGTTTCAAAAAACATGTGCCATCTCTCGTGGGGAGACTTCTCACGTAAAAATAAGATTAATTTTTCATATCCTTCATAACCTCATATTCTCTTGCCCTTCACCAGGGTTTCCGCACGAAATATTAAAGTTTACGTGTGCATTGATGTCTTTTGGCCGGTTCCAGCCGTCCCATTTACGTGGGTTATCTATTCGTAGTAGAATTATCTTTGGCCAAACCTACACCAAGTATTAATAATTGTAATTTATGTTGTTACTGTTTAATATTTTTATTACCTGCCCTGCAGTGCACAAAAAAGAGCTTAAATAGCTTAGCATTTTTAAAGAATTTGTATATTTCATATTTTTATTTGATAAAACCTAATCAGTTTACATAGCAGTGGGACCCCATTTTTTAATTTGCCCCAGGGCCCTTCGTTACCAAGCTACGCCACTGAATATACCCGGTATTTTATTTCATTTTTGGATTCTTGAACATAAAATAAGGTATTTATTATAAGGGTTTAATATGTTTAAAACCTTAGGTTGTTGAGATATTTAAAGATATTTAAATATGCATGCTATAATAAAAAAGTTTCTCACCACCTTGTACATTACTTTTCAGAATTAGTTCTTGTGCTGACTTTCAAGCCAGAGAAATAAACTTTACTAAAAAATTGTATTGCTCCCATAAATGTATACAGTCTATATACATGTAAAGGGTCACCAGACACTAATTCTTGCAAGAGACTTCAATGGTAAAGTCGGTACTAGGTTTAATGATGATGTAGTTGGACGTTTTGGAGACCCAGATACAAGTGACAGTGGTAACAGATTGGTGAATACATGCAAACAATATAATATGAAAATTAATCAGTATACTTGGACACGGCCGTCTTTGGGTCAGAAATCAATTATTGACTTTATAATAACTAAACAATCTATCCAAGATAAGATAAAAAATGTCACTGTAAAACGAGGAGCGAATTGTGGGTCGGATCATTTTATGGTTGTCGCTGAGATTATTTATCCTTACATGAACAAAAACACAAACAGCAAATATGACACAACAGAAGCTGAAACGGAGCAAATCACTCTGTCATATCCAAGATATAAAGTCAACTTGTTAGGAGATAACAGTATTAAATACCTCTACCAACGACGTATCAAGCATCATTTGCAGAAAGAACAACCCAAGCATACTACTGAAGAAGAACATACCTGAATTACACAAGCCGTACATCAAGCAATGCAGGAAGCTGTAGGATATAAGGAGCAAATTAAAAACCAACCTATATGGATGACGGATAAGCTTGAAGAGAAGATAAGTGAAAAGAAGCTGAATTATAATAACTGGTTAGGAAATCCAACAGATGAAAATTGGTTAACATATAAGAAGTTACAAAAGGAAGTTCGACAACAAGTAACTGAGAGGAAAAGAATAGTATGTGGGAAAGAAAATGCAATGATATTGAAACTTACAGTGGGGGATCACGATCTACGGAAGCATGGAGAACTCTGAAGGGGATGAAAAGAAATACACGTGAACGATGGACGGGAACTATATATTTAAGTGATTGGAGGAAACATTATAAAAACCTATTAATAGAACAACGACCCCAGTTTTTACAAAACGATGAAGCCGTCACTATTACAGAAGCTAAAACAAGCATAACGATCGAGGAAGTTAGACAAGCCTTGGTGTCTATGAAAAACGGTAGAGCTCCAGGACTGGGTGGTATTATGGCTGAAATGCTAAAATATGGCGGAGAATGTCTTTTAACAAAAATAACAAAATTAATGCAGATGTGTGTAGATCGGAATAAAATACCTAATGAATGGAAGTTAGCCTATATCACTTCTATATCGTCCCATTGCTGCCAAAAGTCACTAATTTACTTTTTATAACTTCCGAGAAAAATGCGTCTAAAGATGAATTGCATTGCATAAAATAATGTTATAGTTAGTAACTATTCGGTATTAAAATAAAACATAAATAGCCAGAAATCGCTCGATTCTCCGCTTCAAAACATAGTTAGTGATTTAATCTGGTTGTTCGGAAAAATGTTAGTTAGTGACTTTTGGCAGCAATAGGACGATATATAAAAAAGAGAACAGAAAAGACCCAAATAACTACAGAGGTCTTAGTGTAAATTGCACCTTCAGGAGACTTTTTACAAAAATAAGAAGAGCAGAGTGGCTTTACTGCAGGGCGTTGATGTATAGATAATCTATTTACTATCCAACAACTGATAGAAAAGGGGAATTCACGTGAAGAAGATACGCCTTCAAAAAGCTTACACTCCATCCCCAGAGTTAAACTATGGTACATACTGGAACAAC